ACATGTGGATTTTTTGCATCAAAGAGTACCCTTCTTTAAAATTTAAAGTGTAAAGTAATTTGGAACACTCACAAATTTAATGCTAAATCCGTCTGGGCTATCTATTACTCCCTCTGTCCATGAAAATACTTTCAACTTTCCCTTTTCATCCGTCCCAAAAAGAACTTCACTTTCCCTTTTTGGCAAAGAATTTGTGGTTCACACCAATTCTTACAAATTTATCTCTCCTTTGCACAACTCTCCACCACACAAAACCCATTTTCTTAATCTGTGTGCCATTTGTACTACGGAAGGAAGTAAATTATGGGACGGAGGAAGTACGATTTAAAAGTACCCCGAAAACAATTGATTCATTATGAACGTAATCTTTTCAAGATAAAAGGCAATATGCTACCTTTTCAAACGCGGCTGCCACCTTTTTAATATGCTACCTTTTTAATCGAAAAGGCAATCAATATACTTATCGGTAACTACTAACTGCCCCTCCATCTATAATAATTTCATTAATTTAAATAGATTCATTCCATTCAATCAATTTTAGTGTTATAAAACGAGTTATAGTCTAACATATATTTCATATGAATTGTAGAGGACTAAGTATCTTGCGGTCCAATAACACCACTATTTAATTATCTTCCAAAGAGGAAGACACATGTTTGAATCTCATCCCAATTAAGAATATTATTATTATATTTGATATTGTTAAGATCTGAGGTTCCATCCTAAAATGTCAACCTGATAGGGGAGTAACTCATGTCTTAATATAGCACTTTGTTGACTCAAACATTTCCGGTGTGAGATTTAACACCCCTCCTCACGACCAAACTATTCGTCTGGATCGTGCCGTCATTCATTTGTTCCCGTCAATTCGTCATTGTTATTTTTTTTATAATCGTGTCAATCATTTTTCATAAGGGGCCCCACACCTTAGATCGATTTGGCTCTGATACCATTTAAGATATGGGGTTCCATCCTAAAAGGTCAATCTGATAGGAGGAGTAACACATGTCTTAATATATCACTTCGTTGACTCAAACATTTCCGGTATGGGATTTAACAGATATCACAATTATCATATACTGTATTGTTGAATTGGCATAAGAAATAATCAAATAAATTTCGAGTGTGAAAATCAAATCACCATTCATATTTAAATTTAAAAATTGCTCTAAATAGGAGCAAAAACGTTTTGAAATTCTAAAATAGGAGCATCATGTTTTTTATTCCCTGAATAAAAGTAATCTGCCAAGTTTGGAAAAAAATGTCATGTTTAAAGCCTAGTAAGACCAAATTTGGTAGAAATTTACTCTTATTCAAGGAATAAAAAACATGATACTTCTATTTTGAAATTTCAAAACTTTTTTACTCCTATTCAGAGAATTTCTCGTGTAAATTTTGTTTATCACGTAATTGAATTCAATGCCCACCTTCCTCTCAGACTCAAGATAATTAGAATGTCCACTTATTCTCTAATCATACATTGAAAATGTCACCCTCAACAGAGTATATTGTTTCGCTAAAGAGAACTATGAATATTGATTCAGCCATAGAAGTCTCAATACCTCCAATGGTAATAAATTAAAACATCACACTGACACAAACCCACAGAGCTAACATGTTCAGTCTCTGGCGATCGTTCAAGAGGGAGATGGATCATCACTACCGTCATAAATGATATCCTTTCCTTCCTATTATAACTTGCAACTTTCCTTTTTCATTCCTTTGAATTAAAACTTTCACTTTTCGTTTTTGGTAAAGAATTTTTGGTTCACAACATTTCTTACACATTTCTCTTTTCTCTACACAACTTTCCACCACACAATATTCATTATCTTAAATTATGTGTCAAACCTATTTGAAAATTATATTAGGAACGGTGCTAGTATGAATCTTTTGATAAAAAGACATTTAGGGTGTAAAAAATAACACAAACAGTAAGAAGAAACATAAAGAAAATACATACACGACCAAGCACTTCATCCCTACGCCCAAACCCCTCTCCATCTGATCGATCTGACACCGATTATTGTTGCATCCATTGAAAATCAATCTCAAATAAGGATGTTTTTACTTGGACTGTCATTTGCTGGGCTGGTCTAGTTTGGCCTGGTCTGAACTGGTCTAGTCTGGTCTGGTTTCTTTGTATTTTATAATTATCCAAGTCTGGTCTGGTTTGAACTGGTCTGATCTGGTCTGGTTTCTTTGTACGGAGTATTTTTATAACTATCCAAGGCTGATCTGAATTGATCTGGTCTGGTCTGATTTTTTTGTATTTTTATAACTATCCAAATTTGGTATGATCTGATATGATCTGATCCGGGAGAAATTACATCCTAACCCTTCCTCCCGTGATGAAGGAGCTGCTGCCAAAGAACCACGCTAAATCGCTAATAACCACGATGGCTGCTTTAATTTCCAAACTTTAGAATATAATAAGGCTGCTTATTGCTTACCACTTTCGATATGTTATCGGAATTAGTTTATATTGTTCTTATATTCCTTTATAAATACAAATTTTAATTAAATACTCTCTCCGATTCTAAATGAAATTTACACTTACTATTCATTAGTCAACTTAAATCACTCTTAATGTTTTATTTTATATATCAAATTTAAATTTTCTTGATCAGACTTTGTAACGGTTTTAATGTAGTTTTTAAATATGTAAATTTTATTTGCTAAAAATAATCCGAGCATGAACAAGGATCGAATTGCTTTATCGTCGTAAACCGTGAGTGAATTTCTTTTGGGACCGGAGGGAGTTTGTCACCAATAACCGTTTTTTTCTGAATCCCTCCCTAAATACAATATACGGTAGTAGCTATTTTTTTTCAAGAACAAAATATGTACTCCCTTTGTCCTGAAATGAAGTTCCCAGTTTGATCTACACACACATTTATATATATATAAGGTAAAGTTTTGTTTTGACTTTCCATGTATACCATTACCCTTACTTTATGTCAAATCAAACAAAAAATGAGTAAAAAGTGAGGGTAGTTGTGACTTTTGAGTTAAAAGTTAATTCTTTTTATAAAAATGAGACCATTTTTTTTTGACATTCATGAAAGGAAAGTAATAATTTCTTTTCAGGATGGAAGTAGTACATACTTAATTAGGGCCAGCCCACTCCCACCCCATTTTTTAAAAAATTTTTCTAAGTACTATTTTTATATTATTTTTTGGCGGCCCAAACAAAATTATGAAAGAGTAGTTACCAAATATTACTAATATTTTTTTATCAATTAATATTATATGGAGTAAGTAATAATAATTAGGAAAAATTCACAAGAATAATCTCAACTATCCATGGTCTTCCAATATTAATCCCAAATATACATTATTCTATAATAATCTGAAATTTATAGGTAATCTTCCCAAATTGATCCACATGACCTGCAACTTAGACAATAGGTAAAACAAATCAAAAGGAAAACAAAAGCTGAACAAAGTGGTTTAATACTCTGCAGACAATATTCATCGCACGGACAATAAAGAATAACAGGGGCGGGATAATATGCGGTCGGAGATGAAGACAGTTGAACGGACGGATGACGTCGATGAAGAGCAAATAAGACGGACAGATGGACAGAGATGAAGAGCAGATAAGATGATGCAGTTTGTGATGAAGAGCAGTTGGAGTATGTCGGGCGGCGACTCTGAAACATGGACTGACCGAGATCCTCATATCCCCTAACACTTTCACGTCCCAGTCCCAAGGAAAAGAAGAAAAACAGAATTGGAGAAGAAAATTTTGTAAAAATGTAAAATTCAAGTAGAGCTTCTCATGTTAGAAGCCGATTAAGATCCAATTCAAGTAAGGGGAAATTCGAATTGGATTTTCCAATTTCATTGTTGAAATCTATGGATGGCATGAAGGAGGGGATGAAAGAAAAAAAGACAAAAAAATAATGAACGGTTAATGCAAAGATAAGAGAAGAAGAGAACCAGGGAAGAAGGATGCAGAAGATAGAGTCGCGCAACAAGGAAGAAGAAAGAGAAAAGAATAGAAAAAAAACAGAAATAAAGAAAACAAAAAATCAAAAACAAAGAAAACAAAAAACCACCAATAAAAAACTGCCACGTGTCGGGATGACCTGCTGAATGTGTTCATGCAGATCAGCGGACTGTTTTGGGAAGGCCCTCCCTTTAAATTGGATTATATTAGAATAACTTGTACCTAGGATTAATATGAGAAGATCTCTAATAGTTGGGATTATTAGTGTGATTTTTTCCTAATAATTACTAGATATAAAAGCCGGAAAAAAACCGAACCTGTAGTGAATTTTATTAATTAGTACAAATTGTTAACAAATATATAAATCATGTGAAAATTTCACAAACTAAGTTTTATTTGACTTGCGGTTAATTATGTAACTTGAATATTATGCATACATATTATTATTGGTGTATCATTTCATACTGCTACTATATATTTATATTTTATAGAGATATTTGCATTTTTAGTCCCGTAACTTTCGGCTATGATCGTTATTAGTCGAGTAGTCGTGTAACTTTACTCTCCCTCAATTTTGGTTTTGTAACTTATAATATAACTTTGAAATTTTAGAACTTGTCTACCGGAAAGTACACTTTGCGATAAAAAATCCGATATTGACAACATATATTACTGTACTTTTTGTCCACCGTAGGTTATATTTTTATAGTTGTAGCATATTTCGGCCTCTCCCGTTGCACTCAAGTCTGGCTCCACCCCGTAATTAATACGCCCCCGTTCCTATTTAAACTTCCAACTTTCTTTTTTCGTCCGTTCCAATTAAAACTTTCAGTTTCCACATTTCCATAGTAAATGTGTTTCACAACATTTCTTACACATTTATCTCTCCTCTGCACAGCTCATCACCACATAATACTTACTATCTTAAATTGTGTGTCAAATCTATTTGGAAGATAAAAAAGGGACGAAGGGAGTAAATAATACGGAGTAATTTATTACTCCGTACTATTATATGTTTCTCTCGTTTGAATATACAAAGTGTATGCAAAGAAAGAAAAAAAGAGCGGAGTTACGCTATTGGAATCCAGTTTTGTAAAGGATTATCCAGATCAGATTATTGTTGTAAATTTGTGATATTGATACAAAATGACAAGGTTCTACCCTCGACCCAAACATAGCTTTCATTAAAATTTATCCCACGCGGAAAAGCTTCAGTTATTTCCGGAGAAAAATGGCCGAATGAGTTCCTTCACTTGCAAGTCACTTGCGAAGACCTTATCACATCCTCTCAGCCAGATTCAGTATAAAATGTCAACCCACCGGCAGCAACCAAATCTGGTAGCTTGTTCTTTGTCTTTTTTCTTCATTTACAGCAACACGGTATTTAACAGGTACGTTGTGTCCATCATTCTTGTTCAAAACTTCGTTGAAATTAAATGCTGGTTGTTTTCGTTTCTTGGCTTCGCTTTATGCTCAGAAAGTGATTGCAGCTCGGGGAATTATTAAAGAATGATGATAAAGTTGCTTTCTTTGTTTACGTGTTTCTATCTTTAAGATAACAACAAACTTACAATTGTGCACTTTATTAGTTTGTGAATGGCGGTCTTAGATAGATATTCTAATCCAGGATTTTGCTATTACGATAGAAAAATAGAAAGGGGTTGCTTCCCGCTTTCGCCATCCTCCCTCTTTGAACTCTTGCGTGCAAGCTATTCGATCATATGCCTCCTAAAACCGCCTAATCGTTTTTTTAGTTTGTCTCTCTCTAAATATTATCCTCATATGTTCCACATAAACTTCAAAGTGTGTTCAACTTTAAGGTTTTCGTTTCCTTTATTCCCTCAATTTTCAATCACCTGTCAAATTGCATCATCAATTCTGACCTGTTCTTGCAGTAACCTGTGTAGCGTCATTGCGTCAATTGAGCTGCAGATTGAACCTGGTTGTGCTCAAGAGAATTTATAAAGTACGCATCTTTCTCATAAATCTCTAACCTTCTGATATATTGCATTGATTGTTTAATTTTTATAAGTTTTTTGTTTATTGTTTGCAAACAAAAGAAGTTTTTTGTATATTCAAAGCAGTTCATTCATATATATGGTAATAAATAACGCCTAGATTTAGTTGGTACATAAACATACATGTATATCTATAAATCTATATTTCATACCTTTTTTGTTTGATCATCTGCTCTGTGTTGTTCTTTGATTTCTTCAACTCCCCCTTTTCCTTGTTAGTTGTATAAGGGTTTAATAATGGGAGGGCACATGAGCAAAAAGCCAGATGAGGTAACCTCAGTAGCTACTATAAACAATCTGAAGAACAAAACAGAGTTAATGAATTCATATGAAGTGGCTTGTATGAATGACGCGGATTTGCAGAAGTTTGATTCGACCCTACAGGCCCGAACCAATAATGTGATTAGTACCCTAGCTGTTGGGGTTGAGGTTAAATCATTATCCTTTGATTCCTTGAAGGAAGTTACAGAGTGTCTAATGGACATGAACCAAGAAGTTGTCAAAGTGATCTTAGAATGCAAGAAGGACATTTGGAAGAACCAAGAATTGTTTGAACTGGTTGAGGAGTATTTTGAGAACAGCCTTAAAACCCTAGACTTTTGTGTTTCCCTCGAAAAATGTCTAAAGCGGACCCGTGATTCCCAGCTATTGATCCAAGTTGCCCTCCAGCAATTCCAGGAGGAGAGTGGGAATGGAGGGAACAATAACAAGTACACCAGAACTCTTGAGGAACTGAACAACTTCAGAGCTTCTGGAAATCCCTTCACTGAAGAGTTTTTCCAGATGTTCCAATCTGTCTATATGCATCAAATATTAATGCTTGAGAAGTTGCAGTCAAGAAAAAACAAGCTGGATAAGAAGCTAAAGTGCATTCATGCATGGAGAAAGGTGTCATGCGTGATATTTGCCGCATCACTTGCCACCATTCTGATCTGCTCCGTGGTAGCTGCTGCCATTGCTATACCGCCGGTGGCGGCTGCTCTGGCGGCTGCCTCTTCCATCCCCATTGGCTCGATGGGCAAATGGATCGATTCTTTCCTAAAGAGCTACGAGGATGTCATAAAAGGACAGAAGGAGATAATAAACTCTATGCAAGTGGGGAGTTATGTGACCATTAAGGACTTAGACACCATACGGGTGCTGGTTGACAGGTTGGAGATTCAGATTGAGTCAATCTTAAACAACGTTGATTTTGCAATTAATGAAGAGGCTGTGAAGATTGGCATTGCAGAGATCAGGAGCAATCTGGATACATTCATGAAGAATGTTGAAGATTTAGGGGTGCAGGCTGATGTTTGTAGCAGGGACATAAGGAGAGCCAGAACTGTCATATTGCAAAGAATCATTAAGCAACCCAACCATTAAGGATCATTTCATTCATATCACTACTTCAGATTTCAGAGTATTGTTAATTGTTTTTCCTCATGGATCTTGTTGTTAATGTCATCCATGACTCATGATAATTTATTCTTCACATTATTAAATAAGGATATTGTATTTATTGATATTTCATATCATATGCACTAACTATTCATTTTTTTACGAAAAGCAAAGTTATTAGTTATTTATTCCACTAGCTTGTGCTGATCATAACTTTGTTTGGCAATTAAAATTTAGTTATGACAACTCTAAAGTGTCGTTTTTTACATCATTTAGCCCATACTTCGTCTTGTGTTCAGTCATACAGCATTATCATGTGGTCAGCAGTGTTTCGATCTACTTCTCAAAGATGTTTTTGCTCTCTCAGGGAGTAGAAGCAGATATTAGAGTGTGCGGGTGCTCCATATTGCTCATAGAAGCATTTTTTTCGAAAATGGAGACTAGCTTTTAAAAAACTGATTTTGGTTTCGTTTCTTCTTTCAAAAGAAAAGCACAAACAGAATCAAATCCAAACATCATTTACTTCATTTGAATTGGTTTGGGGTTTTGTGAGAGATCATCAAAGGTCAAAGCAGCCCTATTTTACCGTTGGCTATTTTGGAAGTAGTGGTATAGCTCGAAGGAATATTTGGGCATGCCAAGAAGATAATTCATTCTTGTTAACTTTTACAAAAAAAAAATACACAATAAATAAAAGGTTTTCATTGAATTCGGGAGTACCCGTTCTAGGATGCCCCACTTACCAATGAACCTATTTGAGGCATTAAGATGTGATTTGATACGTGAAAGTGAATATTTAGGAATCGAAACTAAATTTTGTGGATGAAAGAATAAAGAATAATAATAAAATCTGTAATTTAGTTGATGATAAAATGAGTTGCCATAATCAAGCAAGAAAAAGTAAAGATGAAGATGCCTTTTATGAAAAAATCACAATTCATAAAGGTGCGGGAGAAAAGTTTTTCTAAGGGAAATGTTTGACTCTAAGGAAGTATTATTCAAGTGCACTATGAATGATTCTACTTTGAAAAGAAACATGGAAAAAATAAGTATTCATGCATATAACACATGCCTCAAGGGGTGAACGAGTGAGTCCATGTGCTACTATAGAAACAAAAATGCATAGTCTACATGACGGGTTACACGGCAGTGTAAATAAAACCCCCACCCTCCTCTTTCTAACCCACCCCACTTTTGAATTAATCCGCCCTACTCCCCTTTTTCTCCTCTTCGCACACACAATATGCCTGTTCCGTTTTTTATTTGTCTGTACCCTTCCTCTCTCTAACCTGCAACACCTCTTCATCTTCGTTCAAGTGGTGATCGAGGTTGTGGTAGGTGACGACCACCATGGAAGCGAGTAAAACGTATGATTGCGACGACGAACTTGGGGTTCGCTAGACATGGGAGGATATTTTCGGGCAGAGTCCTGGTGAAACCTCCACGCCAGCTGCGACAGAAGGCGGTGAAGATACGACGGAGGGAGACATGCAAGGCCATGAACACACAAACGCGGCTGCGACGGAAGGAGTTGAACACACTCACGCTGCCACGCTAGGCGATGAAAGCACGACGGATGGGAAAGCAGTTGAGGCTGAGGTAGGTTGGTGTTTATGTAACGTCATTTCTTCATGGTTGTTATGTTGTCTTTGAATGATGCTTCACAAACAACGTATTTGAATGCACAAACAACTTGTAGGTAGAGAAATTGTAGGTAGACAACGTTTTATAATACGTACAGACAATTACAAATATGTTGTCATAATTCAGAAGTTCATAGAGTGGTTTTTGAATGTGATTTTAATACTGTCTTATTTGAAATAATAATGTCTGTATTCAAATAATAATGTCTCCCCATGAATAATACTTTATTCCTTTGTTTTGTAAGTGGTATGATCATTCTATGAAGTTTATAAAGTAGTTTGGCCATAATGTTTCCCTTTCCATAATATTGTTTGTATGTGCATAATATTATCTGTATATACATATTCTTAAATAACAGATGCAGATGAACATAATAACAGAGAGGAAGATGTTAATGCGGTTGTTTCGGAAGTAGGCATGAGATTTGATACCACAGACGCGGTGTTTAAGTTTTACAAAACATATGGAAGAAGTTTAGGATTTCCGGTAAGAAAAAGAACATCAACAAAGGACAGAAAGAAAGGCGAGGTAGTGTCAATTGTGATAGAGGTTCACGGGCGGGAAGAAGAGGTAAGAAGGCACTAAACTGTTTGAAGCCTCAACCTTCAATGCAAACATCTTGTTCAACTAGAATTAGAGCACGCACTACTTATGTTGGGTCATGGGAAATTTCAAAAGTGTATTTAAATCATAATCACCCCATGAGTCCCACAAAATCTAGACTATTTCGTTGCAATAGGAAGTTGATACCACACACCATGAGAAATCTTGAGATTAATGAAGTTGCAGGAATTCCCGCTCACAAGAGTTTTAACTCCGTTGTTGTTCAAGCGGGGGGGCTATGATGCCCTACCTTTTATTGAAAAGAATTGTAGGGATTACATTGAAAAAAATCGGGAGCTTAGGCTAGGAAGTGGTGATGCAATGGTTATACAAGCATTTTTTCTAAAATGCAAGCACAATGTCCCAGTTTCTTCTTTAGTGTTGATTTAGATGATGAGTCACGCTTGAGAAATGTATTTTGGGCGGATAATAGAAGTAGTTATGCATACAAAAGTTTTGGAGATGTCATTACCTTTGACACAACCTACCTAACTAATCGCTATGATATGCCCTTTGCACCATTTGTGGGAGTGAATCATCATGGTCAATCTATATTATTTGGATGTGGCCTAATATCAAATGAAGATACACAAACTTTTGTTTAGCTTTTTAAAGCTTGGCTTGATTCTATGGACGGTTGTGCTCCAAGCGGTATTATAACTGATCAAGACCGTGTCATGCAAAATGCAATTCAAATTGTATTCCCGGATACTAGGCACCGTTGGTGTTTGTGGCACATCATGAAGAAGTTACCCGAAAAAATGGGTGGGTTTGCGGATAAAGATCACACCATGTTCAAGATTCATGAACTAGTTTATGATTCACGGCACACTATAGAGTTTGAGGCTGGTTGGGAAGTTATGCTCCAAAGGTAAACTTTTCTCTAAATGAATATTTTTATTTTAGTGAACAACAGACAATGTTTATACTTGTACAAACATTAAACATATATGCACGGACATAATTTTATATTGTCTGTAAAGGAAGTATATCGTCTGTGATTTATACAAAATTGAACCCTGCAAATACATTTCTATTCTGTTAGTCTAACTATTGTCTGTGTTATTAGGTTTTCACTAGAGCATGATGAATGGCTGCTAGATATGTACAACGAACGTCGTCGTTGGGTGCCCTGTTACTTGAAACCTAATTTTTGAACAGACATGTCAACCACTGAACGAAGTGAAAGCATGAACGCCTTCTTTGATGGGTATGTTCATTCTAAAACTAGTCTTCAATAGTTTGTCAATCAATATGGGCGCGCTTTAAGAAATAAGGTTGAAAAAGAATTTCAAGTTGATGGTAATTCTTTGACTAAAATGATTCCATGTGTTACGTTATTTACAATTGAAAAACAAGTGCAACGTGTTTACACCTTAGCAAAGTTCAAGGAGTTCCAAGCCCAATTACTTGATCAATTGTATTGTTAACCAAGCATTCCAGCCTAGCTGGTTGTGAGGTTACCGTGCCTAGTGGGAGGTCTCGAGTTCGAAACCCGCTAGGCACATAAAGGGTTTGAAACTCAATGGAGTGAGTTTCAGCCCTGATTACTCCAGGCCCCCTCCCCCCTCCCCCCTCCTCCAGACCCCCTGGAGTAAAAAAAAGATCATTTGTATTGTTATGTCCTACCTAGCATTAATGGTAGCACATTTGAAGTGAGAGAGAATCGTGTCATCAATGGGTTTGATAAGAGTTCGAACTTCATTATTGAGTATGATAATTCAACATCCAAAGGAATGTGTAGTTGCCACTTATTTGAGTTTCGAGGCATTCCATGTAGACATTTTCTTATGGTGGTAATTCGACATGAAGTTAAAGTGTTGTCTGATTGTTACATAATGTCAAGATGGCGAAGAGACATCAAAAGAGCTTACACACGAGTGAAAATTAACTACGATGATTGGATCACAACCGTGGAACAACAAAGGTTTGATAAGTTGTGTAAGACTTTTGAGACCCTTGTGAACACCATTGCTGATGATGAAGAAAAGTGCAACAGTGTAATGATGTGGCTTCAACGGCAATTGGAACAACATGACCGCCCTCCTTCTAATTCTTCTATATGTGGTGTGATGACACCATTACCGCAATCCGGAACTAGTGTGGCTAAGGACCAACCACAAATAATTTATAATCCTAGATCTTCAAAAATCGTCTGAAGGGGCCACTAGAAAAGGGGAAAACTAAGTCAAAGGTATGCTGCCTTGCACTTTCTGTGAACAACAGACAATTTTTATACTTGTACAAACATTAAACACATATGCACAAACATAATTTTACCAATTTTATTTCAGGCAAGTGCGCCAAAAAAGCAGCCCACACAGGACATTGTTGTTGATGAGTTGTTCACAGATACATATGGTGTTGGTCAGTCTACACCATACAATATAGGTGTGGTCAACAATACAATGACACTACATTACCAAGACGGTTTAGATTTGAATCTTTCTCTCTTTTGAATTATTGGTGAAACCTGGTACTGAAATGTTTGTGGCACAGACACCTCATTTCTTTGTCTACATTGGTACATTGTATTTATGTAATTATATATGTAGTTCTATAATATAGTGTGGACAGCGAAAATAATGTGTTTTGTTTTGTATTATTTTGCGAAAACGGATTGCAAAAAATGATTCTTATTTATCATTGTTTTCTTGTAAATAATGCTACAAGTGGTATAACATATAGCTTTGCCAAGAAAAACAAACCTACATCTAACCTTCTATGGATGTTAAATGTTTGTATACAGACATTTAGTCCATTAATCCGTCTGTATTTGAATCATAATCACCCCATGAGTCCCACAAAATGTTTGTAACATATAGGTTTGCAATACAAAGTTCACACCACTAGCAAAAACGGAATGCAAAAAATGATTCTTATATATGATTGTTTTCTTGTAAATCATGCTACAAGTGGTATAACATATAGCTTTGCCAAGACAAAAAAAAGGCAAGCACATTGTAGTCATATTGTACAACATGGCACCGCCAATATTGTACAAAATACTACATCTAACCACCAATTAATGTTACACCTAAGTTGGCAAAATATGAGTATCCACCAAAGTTTTTGTAATTACATATAACAAAATTATACATCAGTGTACATCATTCTTCATCAGTGGACATCATTTTTCGTTGTCTCTCATCATTCTCTTATTGCACATGTTGACGTACTCGCACCCCGGTATCAACGGGAGGTCCAACATGAGGTGATCCGCCATACTTAACACCATCATTCCACATTCACCATTGCGCATTACACAGACAATAGTTATAAAATCTTATAGTCTCATAGACAATTGTAAATGTGCAAGGGATTAATGCATGTTTTACCCTCCTCGTTGTTGGGGGACACCATAAACGCAAATAGCTTGCCAAGGCTTGATCTCGTCTTCAATGTAATCTTCTCTTTTCCAAGTTATGACACACAGTAGGTGGGGGAACCTTTCCCACTATTCTTTTAAGTGTGATACGGTCCTCCCACTTTGCAAAGCGTCATACAGGTTTAGCGATTTACCTCGAAGGTCTATCTCTACCAAAACCCAATGCTTATCATCCACATTAAGGGGTGAAAAAACATAAGACAATTACAACAACATATTTTAAATGTTTGTATGCAAACACTTTGTACATCAATACGTCTGTACGCGAAAACATACCCTATCCAAGGAAGTCCATTTCGTTTTTACGAGATGGTGATCTCCTCCCCAATGTGCCTCGTTGTCAATTTTTTTATTCAGAAGTTGTTGCTAAAAAAAGGGGTAACCGATTACAAAACTATGTCAATAACTACTAATTATGCATAAAACTATATTACTTTACCATAAAATATGGACCCATTAATAGACATTTCATCCTTTTGCTTTCTTCATTGAGCAAGTATATGACAGCATCAACGTGCTACAAGCAATAATTACAAACTTAACAAAGTCTCAACAAGGCTAGTAATAATTATGTGAATGATAAGATTGTAGATATATACTTACATAACTCAACAACCATTTCTCATGCACAAGGAGGTCACGAAAAAACCGCCTATCCACATCGTGTAACCCGGGTACACGAAGGTGTACATGTGTAGTGTTAATATGATCCGGTTGTTCAATCAAAACCTTCAATTTCAACCAATCATACACATCTACATCCAATTGAGTACACTGATACTTAGAAATTTCAAGCAGGGTTAAATCTGCATGATTGCATGAAGGGCGTCAGTCACTAGTGTCATATCCTCATCTACAACGTCCTCCCACTCAACATTCTCAAACTTGATTTCATCTAATGTCTGTGCGGGAAACTACACACTTACACAAGCCTAAAGTTAACACATACTAAAAAATGTCTGTAAGCAGACATCATGCAGTGAGGACAGAATGTCTGCACGCAGACAATACCCTTTATGTTTGAAATTGACATGTAAGTAGAACTTAAATGTAAACAAAAGAAATTAAAGTAAGTGGACCTCTTTCATGAACAACAATGACTCTCGTGGGGTACGACATTCTTCAAAGAAACCATGTTCTTCGTTCATCAACATCAACTTAAAATTTCAAATAAACATTGTAAAATAAATCACAAAATGCGTGATTTAAAAAACAATACGACAAATTTACCTTGACAACACTTACATCATTCATCACATTTTTTATGACAATGTTTGGACTTTGACAAATCTGTTCGGAAGATTACTAAACATAAATAACATATGAAAACAATGTATGAAATGGTGTTTTTAATGGTGTTTAAACATCGTAATTTTGGGTGTCCCGACCCACTTCTAATCCACATCCTTAAATAAGGAGAAACGGTGTCTAATGGTTAAAATGTACATCGTTAAAACATGGACCGGCTACAACTTCTTCATCACCCGTCGCGGCAGTAGCGTCATTTCTTTCCTCCTCACGAGCCTGAAATATGTATACCAAATCCAGTTTAGAATTTGTGTTCGTTTATACAGACAACCTCAAACACAATTACAGACAATATCATAAAAGTCCTCAAATTTACCATTTCGGATTCCACAACCTCATCTCTAACCTCTTGCACAGCCTACACAGTGTTTTACACTATCATAAACACGAATATTCGCTCCAGTAAAATTGTACAGACAACCAGAAAACCAGATAAAGACAAATGTAAACAACTGCAGGCATTTACCATGTCGGGTTCCCCACTGGGTTGTTGGCCATCTCCTTTTCCATGAACATCTTCACCTACTTCGGTATTCACCTCATCTCTATCATCTTCAACAACCTACAATTTGATTGAAACAATTTTTATGAATTTTTGTTTGTGCCCAGACATAGTACATACAAACAACCTTAAAGAGAAGTACAGACAAATTCTTATGTACTGAAAAATTCCATACCGACAACATCCAACTGCAGTATAGACAAATTACACAAGTGCAAACATTTACCTCTTCTGTTTGCACATTGTTTTGGTCTTCATCTGGATTTCCATCTTCATTCCCTTTCGTCTCTTTCATTTCAGCAAGGTGCACTTCAGTGGCTTTCAGCCTCCTTTCAAGATCCGCTACACGTTCACGCAATAGCCTCAATTCCTCTTTTGCAGCATCCTCACCACTTTCCTCAACTTCATCGTCAACATCGTCCTCCTATGACATAAATATAGTAAATAATTAAAAACATGTACCCCAAACAATTACAGAACACACATCAAGCCAAACTATTACCTCAACAACATCTTTAAACCCATTTTTTTCAAGCACGTGGGCATGAAAAAAGCCATCGACAATCCACTTCAGCATTGGAATATCCTTCTTACCCGCCACACGTTTGAGACATTTTTGTGCAAGGACAGACAGTGTAACTTTTAAGTAAACAAATATACAAGTAATAATATCAATACCTGAAGAGCATAGGGGAAGCCATACAAGCTGAACTTCGCATTGCGATACTTAGGATTTTCCAGCTTGCTTTATTGAAACTTGAGTGGCTGCCCTTGCATGGTCTTCTTCAGACTTGTCACAGTCACATTGTAGGACTCCAAGGACCAGGGGCAAGACTTGAAAAGCTTAAACTCATCCACCAAACGCAGGTAATCCGGATGGATTCTGGTTAGCGGATCTCTGGTCAGCAGACAAGAGTGGACCAGAAACAAAGCAACCAACTTCACACGGTCCATAACATCTTCATTCTCTTCTTGAGGGGTCGTACCTAGCTCAACAACTTTTGCCTTCAACTTGTGATAGGTGACATCATCGCAGCCACCAAAGTACTTGTCCACAATGCCCTGATTCATCAAGATCATATGTGGGCCATTGTTCTTGATCTTTCACACCAACAATTCTCTTGAAGTCATTGTACGTGAACTTCATCAGCTTCCCCTCAACCGCAAACCACAATTCATCCTCAGGCTGCTCACGCACAAGGCGCAACAGAAACAAATGAATGAGCTGCCCTGAGAATTGAAAGTGTGGACAACTAAGTAAATGGCCCCAGGGGTTTTTCAGTACCAATGTCATCTGCTTGAGTATTAGGCATTCGCTCAGCAGCTCCAAAGCCTCATTGAAGGCTGAGCGTACGGAGTATTGGGCAGGAAAGTAATCCTTTAGGGGAATTTGAAGTCCCATCCTGAAAATATTCATACCGACACTGGTCACACACACACAACTCATTTACACCACACGGACATGTCATGTACATCATACAGACAACCCTAAAAGATACAAATATATAAGAGCACACTGTACAGACATCTTAACAAATGTCATACAGACATGTCTGGAGTTCACATAAATATAAGAACAAACGATACATACATCTCAACAAAAGCCACACAGACATCTCAGGTACACCATAACACAAGTCTAAAATGAACTCCACAAATAAGAACACACTATACAGACATCTTTAAAAGCACAAAACATGCAACCAATACAACCTAATTAATCATGGAAAAACTAATGAAGCGCAAACATATCAGGTACATCAATAACCTTAGGTCAAACCATTTTTTTCAGATAGACATACACCTTAACATCACAGACATCTCAACAAATGTCATGCAGACAAGTATGAAGTTCACAAAAATATATAAACAAACCATACATACATCTCAACAACAGCCACACAGACACCTTAACGCCACACACATCTCAAGTACACCATATGACAATTTTGAAATGAACTCCACATATAAGAACACACTATACAGACATCTTTAAAAGCACAAAACAGGCAACCAATATAACCTAATTAATCACGGAAAAAACTCATGAAGCACAAAACAAAAATTAAGAACTACAAAGTATTAAGAGTTCATTATGAAGTTCGTTTTGCATATCTTTACCTTTCTGCCATTTGAGTCAATGAAGTGTGCACCATTTCCTTGAGTTTAGTGGAATGAAGCAGACGACGGCCGTACGGTGATTTCGTGACTTACAAACGGAGCGAGCGGAGAATGATGAGGGTTGTTGGGTTTCCTTGACTTTATTGGAGTGAAGCAGACGAAGGCCGAACGGACGGGGGTTTCGTAGGTGTCAACTTCGATGGCCATACGGAGAAGGGTCTTCGATTGAGGAAGCGAAATGGAGAGGGAGGGTTGTTGGGTTTCTCTGGTTGTGGGGAGTTGGGAAAGAGAAAGGCGCATGGGAGAGTGGGAATAGGCGGCAGGTGGGATTTTTCGAACACAAATCGCACGTGGAAGGGGAGGAAAAGGGGAGTGGGGCGGATTAATTCAAAAGTGGGGTGAGTTAGAAAGAGGGGGGTGGGGTTTTTTATTTGGTGTACACTGCCGTGTAACCCGGTGTGTACACTACGCATTTTTGCTACAGAAATATCAATTCAATCATTGCTCTTTTCACTTTTTTTTGCTTAAAAAACACTACAATTTGTTTTCAAATAGGTGTTTCTAATTAAAGTTAAGTCATTTAAAGTCAAAAGTCAAAACAAGGGAGTGAGTGCTCTTAATTACTTTTCATTTTTTTTATTTATATGAAGAGAAGTTATTTCATCAAAACGCTCGTTACTTTTACTTTTTCAAAATCACTTTTTCAATACTATAAACTTTTACTATGAATCATCTTTATACAATCATTAAAAAAATTACTTTACAAAAATAGAATGTGCAAAAACTAAATAAAAAACTAAAAAAAGTCTATCCTCAAATTCTGAGTCACTGCCATGCACTTGCCCCAAATTCTCTTTTTTCTAGGGGTGAATCAGTTCGGTCTAGGTCGGGTTTTCACAAAACCCGAAAATTACCCGTAATATCTCAGGTTATAAAAATTAGGGACTGGAACAAGGCCCATTGTGTTCAGTTCAAGAAAGGTTTTTGATAGCTCGGGTTAGGTTCCGTATATCTAGTTAAAGCTCGAACGAGAAATCAAAACCTTGTTTTTTTATGTTTTTAAAACCTATTTTGGAAATACTCAAAGATACAAACTACAAATAACAACACAAATATTAGTCTCCAAAATCACCAACAACTCAAACCCAAACAAAATAATTTATCATAGTATTGCATTTAAGATACATATAAATAAATAATAGAGGTCATTCCAAAAATATTACTAAATAAAATTATGGATACAAATGTGACTAAAGTTATCAAGAATATATTTTCATGGTCACTACCATATACAAATTGAATATGGTTGTACTCACTAAAAGTTAGGAAGTCACTATTTTTATCGAACATGCTTATTCTAGTTATATACGGAGTATATATTAAGAATTGTTTTTAAATAATATCGATATATTATTTTGATTTTATATTAAAGAATTGTTCCAGGTTTTAATCGGTATGGGTCGAGTTACAAATTTTAGGGACCGCTAATGAACCCGATTTTTAGGTTCTGTCTGAGTATTCTTATTCGAGCTATCCAAAAAATAAAATAAAAAATCGGACCGATAACATCTTTCGGGTCGGGCTAGGGTCAGTTTTTGGATTTTGGTTCGATATTTCACACCCTTACTTTTTCCTTTGTTATACTACTTTCATCCCACTAACATTGAGACATGATAAGGTGGTCCATTTATTAAGAAAAAAAAGTTTTATGTGGTTGATATTGAATTGATAAAGCTAGTATGATTTAAAATCACACAAATCTTACCAAATTTAGTAAGAGACATCCTTAGTGAGACGGACCGAAAAACATATACGTAGCATGAGATAGTCTTAAACAGATATTTAAGCAACCGGCAAAATCACAAAAAGTGGATAAGGGACGACGTGAGAGTGTGAGATCATAAAATCATGATCTCTACTTTGCATGAAAAAAACTGTTTGTACATATTATCTTACACGCGTTTGTGATAAATGATTTTTTGCCCTGCGAGAAATCATGTTTCTATATAAACTAAGTTACTTCCTCCATTCCATAAAGTTGCAACATATATCGGAATTTTTGCACTATTCACACATTTTACTTTGACTATGATTTTCTAATAATATATATAATAAAAATAGTATGTATAAAATATTAATAAATTTGTATTAATGTAAATTTCCAATATATTAACTTTTTTTAATGTTTACTAATACGTAAATAAATATAATTACAGTCAAAGTTGTGCATTGGCAAATGTAAAAGTCAAACTGTTGCAACTTTTATGGAACGGAGGATAATATTTACAAACAAAAAATAATTAGTCAGAGACATGTGTAAGATGTTGTGTAGTACTCCCTCCGTTTTTTTAATTGCAACGGTAAACATTTCACATTTGCCAACGCACGTCTTTGATCGTAATTATAACTTAATTTTATTAGTTAAAAAAATATTAAAAATCAGATTTAGAAAATTTGTAATGAGATGAATTGAACAATATTTTTAAAAAAATAATTTTAATAAATTAATAACGTAAAATGTAGTCAAAGTAGAGCAAAATTCCACATGTTTGAATTTGGATTGCTCGAGCATTCCAATCCTATTCCACCTATAGAAGCATAGAATAGGGCAGGGCTACTCTTTCGTTTGAATTTTATGGAATAGACTATGACTTGATAGCATTGACATTTGGAAAGGTTCTCCGATCCTATGGACTCCCATCATTGAGAGTGAAATGATTAGAAAATGATTACAAAATCTTCTAAAATTCAATTATGGGCCACTTATCAATAAATAAAATTACTTATTGAATAAAGGCAAAATATATCATGCTTAGAAAGGAGATTATTTATATAGTTTTATAAATTTAATAAACCATTTTTTACAAATTCAATGTCAGTGTTATATGAAAGATTATAAAATATTACTAAACATTTAATTTGATATTACATCTGTTCCACAAAAATCATGTTTTGTATTTCACAATCATTAAATTTGACGTTTAACCATTAATAGGTAATGGCTGTTTTGATAAAATGTAAAACAATAATTAATTTGCATACAAAATGTAGAAACATAAAATGTTACATAGTTTCTTTTGAATATTTAATGTAAATTGTATGACATTTTTTGAAACATTTTATATTGTACCATGTATACTTATAAGTAGGGGTGGTAAAATAACTCGCATTATTTTTTCCTTATAAAATAGTGCAATGATTTTGCATGTAATTTAAATATAAATCACGCAAATAACTTAGCAACATGTTTTTATTTGACAAAATAAATGTTTTCCTAAATTTTGTGTGCAATCATTATGCGTGTATAGTTTTAATGTGCAAAGTAACAAACACACCCTAAGAATATCTACTTACAAGAATCTATAATAAATTAAGATCTTAATCTTATATATATTAAAATAAAGCATTCAAAAGCATTTTGATATTATAAAGTAATAATATGATTTTTGAGTAATTAATTAATGACCAAAGTTAATAAGTTTTGGTTTAAAAGTCAAACTATAAAATTTACTCCCTCCGTCCCGAATTGAATTGCAAACTTTGACCGGCACAAGAATTAAGGAATGATAATAATGATGCTTGCTTTTTAAAATTTTGTCCATCTTTTTAAAAGTAGATGCCTTTAAGTTAATGGGGGAAAAGTAAAAGTAAGAGTAAATTTGTCATTTTATTCTTATTTACATACCTAAAATAGAAAATGTAAAACCATTTTGGAACAACCAAAATAGGAAATTTGAAAATCAAATTGGGACGGAGGGAGTATTAATTTAGGAAGTACTTTTCTTAAGAACCTTAGCACGAAAGAAAATGTTCAATTGGCTGCCAGGCTGCCACATACAAGCAATTAATGCCAATCTAAACCTATCTGTTAGACATCACATTTGTTCAGGGTTTAATAGATCAACCCTCTCGTGAAATATAAATTCAACGCATTATCCTTTGTCATCTAAAAATGCATCAAATCACCCTGTGTTATAATTAATCATGCGCCAAACCCCCTCCAAGAACAAATTTAATTTCGAAAAAAATAAAAAATGATTAGTTTTTTGTATAATTCAGAAATTTTGACAAAGTTACTTGCATATTCAATCATATTATTAAAAAAAGTGATTTAAAATTGTAAAATTTGTTCTTGAAGGGGTTTTTACGCATGATTAATTATAACACAATGAGGTTTGACGCATATTTTAAATCACACGGGACTAATGCGCCGAATTTATACTTCACGAGGGGGTTTGGTGCATTAATCCCCATTTTTTCATAATGTACTCGTATAACCAATTTATTTAAGCCGTCTTTTCCTCATAAAAGGTACTCGTATTTTTTTATTTATAAGGATGTATATTACTTTCATTCCAACGAAGATGCAACAACAGCACTAGTGTGTAAGAGTAAGACGGTGTATCCATTACTACTCTGAATAAACAGCACATTCCATCTCATCAACCACAATGGCAACAAACTCAAATTTCTTCGAACATGTTTTACCCTCATCCAACATGCTCATAATTTCAAATTTAAACGCTTGTGCTTCTCTGCAGTTGTACAATGAAAGGATGACCACTAGAGATGCATTCTTTAGATAATAAGTTGCCCATAGGAGGGGTAGCAATAGTTGATGTTTCTCCTTATCGGATGTGCGTAAATTAAAGCTTTTCATCATAAACATACAATTGGCGATGGACGAATGTTGAAATAGGTTGCTGTTGTTAGTAAGACACAGACAGTGGTAACATATATTTTGAACCAAGCAGATACATAGGTAAGAAATGTACACACACTGGTGAACAACATAACAAGGGCCAAGTTGCTAAGACACTTCCAAGTAGGCAGTTCACCTTCTATCCCTTCTAGTGGGAAATGACCTTCTGAATAGAAATCCAAAAGCAACTTATCTTTGTGGCAGAATGTGTCCATTAACCATGAAATGGCCTCGTTTTCGGAATTTGGGATGGTAGTGAGATCAACCCTTCTTATGTGGATGTGAACTTCGGCTGGGTCCACACCGTAGGCATTGTCCATGAAGGATGGGCAGTTATTCTTGTACCCAATTGTGAGATCATACACTGTTTTGTTTCAATAAAAAACAGAGGGATTGTCACAACTCTACTTTTGAGGTCCAATTGGCACCGGAAAGATAATTGGAAAAGATAAGGAGGAGGATCCAAAGTATTTGTTCAAACTCATTTTATATATAAGGAAAATGGAAACTAATAATCCCACCTTTTATCCATTTTCTTAGAATAGTTCCACCTAACCGTAATCTGAAAATAATCTCACATTTCCACCACATCTTCTATATACGATAGTATAATATATCTACACACAAACATATTTATATACTATATATATACACACACATATTAATATATAATTCATATATATATAACATATAAACATATATAGCTGTATTATATCTAGCAAACATATAAAAACATAGATATACATATGCATAATGATGTGTGTGTATTAGTCTACATAGTAAATGAATTAATGTAATAGTAATAACTAATTACTAATAATGTTAACCATAACTCTTAGATAGCATTTATATTTGAGACACTGAGTGCAAGGCAACACACAAATAAATCAATAATTATATTATATATGATGATAAAATTGAAATGATATATATGATGATACTATGTTTACTTATGTTTTTAGTTTTATTATCTTCACAAAGCTTATTCAAATTAAAGAATTAATGAAATTGGTGGTATTAGTTTTTATCACGCACAATATTATATATTTTAACTTTTTTAGTGCTAATGATATACGATAGTATATCCAAATAAGATAAATAAAATCTATACATGTGCACCCTAGGGAACGCGCTGGGGACAATGGGGCGGAGCAAGGAGTAACGGGGGATGGAGCGGGGATGGGGGAACTTTTTAGACATGGGGCATAGGATGGGGGAGCGAACCCCCGCCCCAAACCCGCCCCGTTGCAATTTCTAAAACCAACATTACAAAGTAACCTTCATTACTATTTTTCCCTTTCCCTATCATTTTCTGGTATTCAAACATACCCTTATGGTGAATAAGGAGTTGAATGTTCCACATTTAATGAATGCATACACCAAGGTTATAAATTTTCTTCACTGAGCTTTTCAGATTCATCCTCCAACAATCATATTAATCATTTAGCACTTAGCAGCATGGTGAACAGAAAGCACAAATATTGGAAAACAAGTTGCCACAGTAAAACAAAGAGGGGGCAGGTGGTTACCGGCATCCAAAGAACCTCTTAACTCCTCTAAGCATGCACAAAAACCTTTTGTCTTTGGAAGCAGCACATTCTTCAAGATTGGTAATCCATTTTCAGAAGCATATTTTTGACTACGTAAGAGCTTGTGTTCTCTGCAAAGAAACGAAAAGCATCAAAACCTAAACATGACTCTTGTATCCCAAACAAAAAATTCAATATTTACCTTTATTAAGGAAAAAAAGAAATGTTAATATAATGTAATCTCCTCATCCAAAAATAGAATTCATTTTTAAATTCTACCTTCTTCCTAAAAAAATTACTCTATTTATTTCTAAATGTGTACAAAAAAGTTCAAAATATGTTGAATTTAGATGAAAACAAACAAATAAATATAAAAAACTAGACAGAATGCAAAATTTCCAATAGTTGGAATGTAGAAAAAGAGTTAAGATTATATAATACGTGAAATCAGTGCCTTCCGGAAAAACAGCAAGCCAAAGAGGATCTCTCGGGTCTGAGTAGGATGAGAGCATCTGCCTCAGCTTTGATTCATCAGCATCCCATCTCCTCTCCACTGGTATGAACTCCATGATATGAAAAACCCAACCAAAAATAGGCAATCTCATCAAACTGCTCTTCATTATATACCTTATTGAACCCACACATCCCTTCCGTAAAGCCAGGTCCCACAGGTACATCCAATCAACCTCTGTTCTATGGTTTGCAATAAGCAACACTCGTTCCCTGTCGGGAACACAATCTCCCGAGAAAACCATTTTGGTCTTGTTTATCTTTTCGAATAAAAATGGCCATAGAGCTATCCAACACCCAAAAAAGAAGGCAGTTGTGGTTCTGCTATAGTGAACGCTGACAAACCTCAAGCACATGGAAGACCAGAAGCCACAGAACACTATCAGAGTAAATGCTGTCAAAACTAACACGACCAGACACAAAATACCTCTGACCAACCTAAATGTGGTCAGAGGCCGATGTCTTGATTTGTTTCTCAAAGTGCAAGGTGCTTGGAGATCCATTTACTTGGGTAGTTGATATCTTCTTCTTAAGGGAGTTTATATGTACACTCACATAAAATATGCCAAAAAACAATCTCAGAATGTGTGACTTTCAACTTTTCGTGTTTGAAGATGTGATACAACCCATACATTGGCACTACCCAAGCAAGATTGGGACATCATCAGTCGAAAAGAAAGAACTCCTACTTGACTCGCCTACAAAAGAGAGATAACAGGATAAATGTTGCTCAGAGCTGAGGCATTATGAATAATAAAAGAACATATTGATTAACACTACTTGAAGTACCAATAGCATGTGGTTGAAAACTTAGCAATATTACTTTTCTTTCTTTTCCTCTAACCATGAAGAATTCACCCAGATTGAGCTTACTGAAAAGATTTCATATGAAATACTACCTGTAAAATTATTGCAGGAAAAAGACATTTTGCCTCATGCCCCCCCCCCCCCCCCCCCATCCAGTTTTAGCTTTCATATTAACTACTACGTACATAGTATAAGGCCTAATTTGGGATTGGGTTGCAGTTTGAAGACTCCCCTTACCAGAAGAGCACTTATGAGAATTGCAGTGAAAAAGTGCTTTTGAAAGTTAAAGAGTGTTTGGAGTTTGACAGTGGAGTGTAAAATTTGAATTTTCTGAAAACGAAAGATTATAAACTCAAACACAAACCTAATCCTAGAACCTTTTTTTTGCGCTGCCTGTTGCCATTACAAATAAGCCTTTGGACAAAACTATAGTTTGTTTGGGATTATGTTTGGGCAAAAATAAGTCCCAAACACAGCACAAATGATTGAAATTGAACCTTCTTTATTTTTCCTTACCATGTTTTCGTATCCTTTTATAATTTAGTGGGTCGGCTTAATATTATTATGTTAAAATAAATATTGCAAAAGCTAAATGAGAGTATAAAACGGAGAGTGTAGTTTAAAAAGTAAAAAATGGGGGGAAAACAATTAGTGGCGTGTATTTTAAATCCTTCACTCCATTGAGCTTACATCCATAGCACTACAAACTCCAAATTGAGGTGTTTTCTTAGACTTCGCAAGGCAAAACAACATTAAGATTTCACTGGGGTACTCTGGGATGCAAATATTTAAAAAGAAAAAAGGAGGTAAAGTCCAATTTTGAAGTAAACATGGAATTCATCAAACATCATAAATGTCAAAAATTTATGGCTAAACAACCCACATAGACATGGTAGCATATAGGCTTAGCTTCTGCCCCCAGGATACATGTTGAACCATTTCAGAATTCCTCTACCCAACACTCAGAATCATTAAGTGCATTCAGTATTGAATGAACGAATGAAGCACGGAAATGACAAACCTTATGAAAAAACACGTGTCGGAGATTACAGGCCGCGTGTCTTTGCCGGCGATTTGAATGTTTACGCACGAGCTTCGGTGGTTGATACTCCGTCTTTGGAGGCTTTATATGCTGAGATGTGGGGAGGAATGTTCGGAGGCCACCCTCGACTCAAGTGCGGCTCTTTTATACTACTAAGTAAGTATCATCATTCTAGACTTAGGGTTGGACATTTCACAATTAATTCCCTATTGCTTCTACTTTAAAATAATTTTAGAAAAAATGCTTACCATCCAAAGTTGGTAATGTTGATTAATTAGTGTCATGTTTTAGTAGCACGAGTAAACTCACCCGTGGAATACTGATATAGATCAAAGCAATGAACGAAATACACTTATAATATTATGGTTAAAAAGAGAACACTAAGCATTATTTAAAAGATAATAAACAACCAACAAATACGTAGAAATCATAACATTGTAAATATGTATTTCATGTAATCCTAAACATTGTTGAATACTTCTTCAATACAACATTCCGAGTCTTGTTAGTGGTTCATCTTCTAAAAAAAATCTAATTTTTAAACCAGAACAATTGGTCACCCTTGATACCGAGATTTTGCCACCTTGGGATAAATAAAGTTTTTTCAACAACAACCCAACATGGTACAAAGATTGACATTGAATTTTATTTATAGTCATAACATATGAAGTCATAAGAGGATATTATCGCCTCTGAAATTTGAAAGGCAAACTGGCATCGGATGGGGTCATGGAAAATCTAGGAATTAATACTTTTTGTCTAGCACTCACACCTGTTAAAATCTTCCCCTCCAAAACATGATCACCGAGCCTCGTTAGAATAAGTCGAGTCCCGTTACACAACCCCAATTAATGATCAATATTTCGCAAAAGCATCACCGGAGTCCCTACCTTTAACGTTAACTCATGATTCAGTACATCGGATAATTTTATACTATTCAAGAACTCCGGTGTGTATTTTTCCTTTCACAAAAAATATATCAGATTTAATAATTTTTTATTATCTTCCCATTGCTATCCATATTTCATATAAAAAATTGAAAAAAAATCTTTTTTTTGCTTAAATCTATTTTTGGCTGGATTTTTTTAATTTTACATATTCAATATTGATATCATATGAAAGATTATAAAAAATAAAAAATATTGATATAATTTTTGAAAAAATTGAATCAAAAATGAAAAAATTATAATAATAATTGAAAAAGTTTAAACAATTGTCATGCCATGTGACAACCCAATAGGGTGGGCTCAAAAGATGGGGTGAACAAAATTGTTCTCCTCTTCGGCCACCCCTCTTCAATCAGCCCCACCAACATTCCACCCAAAATACTTCTTCAACCCTTCATTTCCTCCAAGCAAAAGACAATTGGCTCCAACCTCTCTCCAATCAAGCTCAACAATATTTCACTCCAAACACTTCTTCAACCAATGATTGGTCAAAAGTCAGTCACGCATTCCCCCTTTCTATCGATTCTCCGCCAACATTTCAGGAGCCAGTCATGAATCAAGCTCTTATAAGCCTCCTCCGTCTCATATGCCTCATCCGCCTCATCCTCCGCTTAGACTTATTAAACGGTAAGAACACACTCCCTCTACTACACACAATCATCTCACCTATTAAACCTTTATCTTAAAGCCATCCAATCGGACTTCTGTACAAATTAGCACACTCACAACCCACAGATCTAGCAGATTTGCTTTTATTACTACCATAATACTTAAAGATATTTTATGAAAATGATATTTGATTATACATAGCGTTATATCATATACTTTTTTTTGGCAAAATGATTTCATATACAAGAAAACATAATATGTTTTTGAAAATATTATTTGAAAAAATTAATAAGACACAATCACGCTCAAAATATTTCTATAATAGATCTATGTATATGCATTTAATAATAATAGGTACTTCAATTTTGAAAATTTTGAAAATAAAGTATCCGTGTGTCAAATTACATTCGATGTGAGGAATTTTTAAATCTATTTCTAAAAAAATATTTTTAAATAATATTACTTGGATTTGAACAACATATGAAATATATGCCATTTTGTTTGTTAAAAATGCACACAGAAACAAATTACTATGCATGCATTTTTCTCGAATTTCAACTTTTTAAAAGAACATTAATTGTGTGGTTTTAAAATAATTTGAAAACAATTAATGAAGAAAATATTGACTTCTGGATCTTTTAAGTCTATACTCTATACTTGCTTGCAAATATATGTCAAAAACAAAAAAAATATTTTTTTTGTAAATATATGTCCTGTGGCATCAATGTTAATCCACCAGTCACAAGTGATGCGTCCGACCCTCATGGCCCCATTAAACCACCCCACTGACCTAGACTTAAATATCGGGATTTATTAATTACTCTGAACAAACCACCCAAACTGGAGAATTATAACCCAACCACATAAACCATAAACCATTGAACCCTAACCTTGATGTGCAGGATCCCGATACACATACTCTTGTCGCCCTTGCCTTCATGCTCAGCAGCTCAGGTGGTCCTGCATCAATCTCATGAATGATAGACCTCGTACCAACCATATTGAAGGTGTATACATATATTGAATTTTTTTTTTGCTTTGTGAGCTTGATGATCGAGTGAATGAGAGAACAGTGTTATTGAATCTGCTTTTATTAGGGTTGGGTCCGAAAAATCGAAAACCGAAAACTGAATCAAATCATACCGAATCGTAGACAAATAAAACCGAACCGCTAACAAACCGAAACCGAATGTAAAAAATTGAACCGAACCGTAGTTGTTTGGTTCGGTTTTGGTTTTTACCCTTCAAAATCGAACCGAACCGAACCGAACAAACCGAACTAGTTAAAATATACGGAGTAAAATTTATTTGTCCATTGTTAAGCATTAATCCTAACTAATCCTAATATCATTAATAGTTTTTGGTTTTCTTGTGCTAGAGAAATAATGTTTGTTATGTTTAGTTTAGTTTGTGAGTTCATTTACACATTTATTGCACGTAATAATGCAGCTATACTGATAATATATTTTTACTTGTTATTAGTATTAATTAACTTTTATTTTTATTTAACTTAAAGAATTCGTATTGATGAAACAATAAATATTTATCTCAACTATATCACATATAATGTATATATTCATGAACTTTTTAAATTACACTGTAAATTAATAATATATACTTTTATCTCTCTCGCATACTCATATAATTCATGACATATTTATTTATTTTTATTTTTATTTTATTTGTTGTAACCCGACTTGACCTCCTCGAATGTGATCCCAACATGTGCTTGCATTCTTTATGTAATACGAAGTATATGTTTGATCCCTCAAAGTATTATATCAGTTATAAATCAAATGATAATTTTTTGGTAAAAAACCGAAAAAACCGAAATCGAATCAAAACAAACCAAACCAATTAAACCGTGGTTCCAAGTTTTGGAGTGTAGAACCGAACCGAAACCGAACCGAACTTTTTACTTTGATTCTATATTTGGTTTTAGGTAAAAATCGAATCGCAAGAACCGAACACACCCCTAGCTTTTATAGCTGAATGTAAATAGGCATACACTGGGTATGGCCCGCACTCATGATCTATTTTTTATGAAGCTCTCAACAGAAAATATCTTGGAATAGTGGGAATGAGATACATTAAATCTCAATCACTATTCTCACCACCAAACTCCACCAATAGGAATAAAGCTAGATAAATAACCCAATGACTCATTGATGTCGATGTTTTTGAGAGGAAATACTATTCTTTGAAAATCTTTTGCTTTTACTACGATAGAAGATCATATTTTAGACACGATAGTATTTTCCAAGTTTGGCAGAAATTACTCATATTTTGAAAATAAAAACATGACAGTCCTATTTTTGAATTATCAAATACTTTTACTCCTATTTCGTGAATTTTTCCATGTTGATAATGTTTGGTACTAAAACTACTTTTAATATTCTTCCTTAATATTTAAAAAATCACTACATTAGATTTTAGCACAATATTTATGGCCGAATAATAATAGCGGTCGGTAATCACTCCACATTCAAGTACGCATTCACCTGCTCTCCTAGCTTTTAGCAGGTTCAATTCTTTATTTAAGCAGAAGCGGTCATTTGAAACCATTAATTTTAGTTTTTTAAAGCCAAACGTTGAAAATCATTTTTAATTTTAAAATTTTTGCAAAAAGTTTTAGCCAATTTTAGTGCTCTGACTAGTTTGTAGTGAAGCTTTTGGTACTTGATTTTGATTTTTTCCATTTTTAGTGTTCGACTATTGTGCTAGAGACATTTTCGTTACTCACCTTTACAAATTTTCATATTTAGTCTTCTGACTTTCATAAAAGTGGCATTTTGTTCCTTCAACTATTATAATAGTGACATTTTTAGTCGTTCACTTATTGTGTCAAAATTATAGTGGAAAGACTAAAAGTGTCAATTTGATAATACTAAAAGGACCAAATGTGAGAAACTTTGAAGACACAGACTAAGAGTGTCTCTAGCACAATAGTCGAAAATTGAAATTAAAAATGGAAAACTTAAAAGTCGAGTACTAAAAGTGTCACTGAAAATGGCAAAAACTCTTTTTGCAAACAATTCTTTAGTCTACACGCCATTTTGTATATTATTTCTTGATGTACACACACATTGTGTAGATGGTTGTGTGTATACGCTGGCTGACCTGTTCGCGGTTTCCGATTAAACCAGACCTGGAACCACCGGCTTTTGAATTGGGACAACAACTATAACCGAAACCACATAGTACTTACCGTTTGAAATTGAAGGTCTACTAATCCAATTGGTTCTTCCAAAACTATGAATCGGAACTGGCGATTGTAGTGCATAACCTATTCTTCAAATTAATTATTTAATAAAAATAAAAATACTAATAATAATAATTATCATCATAAAACCAGACCAATTAATAATAGTAATGGTGGTGATGATCATCATCATAATAATCATAATATTAATTGTACTAATTATAGAAATGTGAAATATAATAATTACTAGT